GTGTGTGTGTGTGTGTGTGTGTGTGTGTGTGTGTGTGTGTGTGTGTGTGTGTGTGTGTGTGAGGAATTTGACAAAAAGATAGTGGGGCGGGGGGGCATGTAAATAGTAGCTGGACCTTAAAGACCTTAGGGAAGCAGTTTTTAAATTAAGACCACTTTTGACGACATGTAGCTCTCACTGGAAAGCCTCTCGGAAACTACAGTGCTGATCCATGAAATACTTGTTTGTTTTTTAGTTTGTTAATGTGTCTGTTGCTAAGCTGGCCATACTGTTGCGGTTACCTGTCAATTGCGCCAGGTTTCCACCTAAAGTTCCCCGGACTTGTCAAGGAACCAAAAGGTTTCCAAGACTGTTGTCGTCTGTTTCCACCGATGCATAGACCCACACAAAATTGAAAATGTAGCATGTTGACGTAGGAAAAGTGACTGCTGTCTCACAGGACATTTTTGCACGCAACTTCCCGTCACATTGTCGAAATATTGGCCAAACATTTTCAAATAGACATTATTTGGATGAACTGACCTATAGTAGGAATCTATCTAAATGCTGACTTCATTTCTAAAATAATCAACATATTAAGGTTTTGTTATAGGGAGGTATGGTTTGACAAGTTAGACCTCTTTGGATGTCATGTTGTACATTTATTTATTCATGCGTAGACCATATCTTAAATGTTACGTTTTAAGCTTTGCCAAAGGAAATTATTATTGCTATATTATTCTTCTACATGTTTGCTTTTAATCAAGTCAGGGGAAAAGAAAACATTGCAGCAAACTATTTGAAAATAGGTGGCCATGAAATGAATATCTGTATTCATTAGATTTTTGGACACACAGAAAATCGGATGGCAAATCTAATACCAACAAATAACAAGGGTTTTGTGATCAATACATCGAAGGAACTTCTTGCTTTCAGGGATTTTTTAAAGCAACTTTCAACGGCTACATTCTGTAAATAAAAATATATATTGGATGGTTATTCAAGTATGTTTCGATCTAACACATATTTAATTGTCCAACTTAGGTACAATACACACATTAAATTATTCAGAGGTTTTGTACTAGAATCATGTTGCAAGCTTTGTAGAGGAGGGTTTAAAGCAGTATTAAGGGAAATCAAATTTTCAAAAAAACATTACTGAATACTTAACGTATAATTCATAACAAGTCTAAATAAAATATTACTTTTTTTGATCAAAATGTTGTTAGATTGAGTTGATGTAGCACACAAAAAATGCAAATATCCTAAATCATAACCAAGAAATTTGATTTTTCCAGTGCGGCTCTGTGCTTCTGAGTGTATTTTATTAAATCAAAGCATCTTCGCACTACTCTTTGTTTTCGAAATCAAAGTCCTTCATTGCCATAACCCTCCAAACCACTGTTAGCAAATGCTATGCTAACAGTAGCCATATGTCGAAGGCAAGCTAAAACATGTGCCTGAAATGTATTGGGGCCATTCATCTCTTGGATGGCCCCAAATGAGAGAGCCTGACAAGTCATTTCAATAAGGAATAAATGTGTTCTGACTGTATTGGCAATATAGACATCATATTTACTTTTCAAGTTCAAAGAAAATCAAACTAGTAAACCCCTTTAATAGGGAGAAACGTGAAAAATAAATGTTTTAACCATGTTTTCTTTTTAGATATGCTTTCACACGTGAACTAACAAACGTGTTGTCCCTTTTCTTTACAGGTGCCCTTTCTTATCTGAGGCCTGAAATCACCTGATCCAGAGCTCCACACTTCACACAGGGACATTTATGTGTACAGCGATGGGAATCTTTTAAAATCTGGACCAAATTTTTATTTTGCTACTATTTACCAGGACACTTTTCTTTACTAAAGGACTTTATATTTTTTAATTCTTGTTGGAGAAATGGACAAAAAAAAAAAGAAGGGACCACAAGAAGGAATATCAGACCAAAAACTGTTGACTGATTTCGAACAAAAACTATTCATTGACGGCGGAGATGTCAGCGCTTAATGGGGTCGGTGATGTGGAGCTTTGACCGTCTACAGAGCCATGAAGAGGCACTTTAGTGACCAAAACAATATCCATGGACTCTGGGGTGTTTGTGAGCAAAGCAAAACCCAAATCTCTACGTCATAATCTGCCATTCTTTGAGGCGATGCTTAAAGGAACATGTTTACATATTTTAGGGCCACATGTATGAAATGTCATGTATCTCCAATTTAATCCCCAAGTTATATCTGCTCAAAGGGGAAAAGAAAAGGGCTTTGTTGATTTTTTAAAATAATTTATCTCCGCATCCCACACAAGGAGAGACATTCCACAGACAGAGAAAAACAAACGTGAGAATCTGAGTTTTTTTTTATTGTGTCAGAGACTCTAATGTACACCACAGCTGTACTGCAGTGAAAGTTCATTCACACATTCCTCCCCCCTCTCTCTCCCCCTCTCCTCTCGCCTTTCTGTCTCACTCCTTCTGTCTCATTGATGTTTCGGACGGTGAGGCAGGGATCCCGGCCTTTTGTAGTTTTTAGAGAGGACCTCGGAGGAGGTCAAGGGGTGACTTTAGGGAAAATGACAGATGAGAGAGCAGGAGAGGAGGGCGGCGGAGAAATGGCTTTAAAGGAAGGGAAAAAGGGGGGGTGGATAAGCAAGATCGATCACAGGGTTTAAAACCCTTTAAAGATCTTCTCCCGGCGAGAAAAATCCACCAGGTCACAAGTCACGACCGAAAGACACTTGAGTAACCGAGAGAGTTTAGACTAAAGACTGCCATTCTCCCAGCTGACCAGAAGTGCAATATCATGTATCTTAGAGTCCAGAACCCTAATCCTAACCCTAACTCCTCGTAAAAACAATGAGAAACGTGTCTCTTAAAGTCTTACAAAACAGTTTGGATTATAACTCTGGGTCCAGTTTGGGATGAACACATGGGACTATGTCCAAAACACATGAGAAACATTGTTAAAACTGCCATTATAGCACACTGAGGACCACATTTGTCAGGACTTACATTTTGCGTATTGTAAGGAAATGCATGAATTAAGGGAAGGCCAATGAAAACAGAAAACCATCAGGAATGAAAAAGCCAAAATTGTACGACCAGGTCAAAAGTCAACCGAGAGACGCTTGAGAAACCAAGAGTTTAGACCATTCTCCGGACTGATCAGAAGTGCAATATCATATATCTTGTAGTCTAACGCACCATTAAACATTGAATAAAACATCAATGTTGCCTCTGAAAGTCTTACGAAACAGTGCGGATTCGTTCTCTGGGTGCAGTTTGGGAACAACACGTGTGACTTTGTCGAAAACAAATCAGAAATATTGTTAATACTGCTGTCATAGCACACTGAGGACCCGTTTGTAAGGATGTTAGTTGGTGTACTAATCAAGGGAATGTCAATGTAACCGAAAAATCACCAGGATTGAAAAAGCCAAAGCTTTTGACTAAAGACGGCCATTCTCCCAACTGACCAGAAGTAAAGTGTTTCTTTGAGTCGACCTTTAAAACAATATTAAAATTAATCAAACGTACCTGTTACGGCCCGTCTACACTACAGGCATCAAAAAATCTTGAAGCTGGCCGTGTCTGAAGCTTGCCGATTTTTTGCGAGCAACGCGACCAACAACCAATCACATGAATCTCCCGCCCTCGACATACAAAGCAATAGCAATGTTAAAACGAAGTAAACTGGATATAAACTCTCCAAACAGGCGAAAAACCTACCAGTTTCACCCACTGTCTCTCCCACCTCCCTCCATGCCTGGTTCCTCCGGTTTGTATCCCGGTAAATAGTTCTGGTCGTAAAGAACCGGGTGATTTGCTACCGTAATATCTCGTTTGGAATATGAGGAAATGAACTGCGGTCTGGCTCTCCCAGCTTGCACGCGGTTTGATTGGCTGCGCTTGCACTGGCGGGATTTGCATAAACGGGATTTGATTGGCTGATGCCAAGCATCGAGCCTCAAAAGTTGAACATTGTTCAACTTTTGATGCCGATAGATGCCGTGATGCTTGCAAAGCCATGCCCCCCACAATGCAGTTTGGCGAAGATTAAAAATCTTCTACGTCACCCCATTCAAGTGAATGGGCGAAGCGTTGAAAGCATTTTTCGATGCCTGTAGTGTAGACGGGCCGTCAGAAGTCTTATGAGACTCCCCCTAGATTACTTTTATTGCAATATCCCGCTATGGAAGAATGAATATTTACCCTTCGGAGGTCCAAGACGTCTTGTAACATGAAGCGGATTCTGGATGAAGTCTTCTTCTCTTTGATGATCTTGTCAATCTGGGCGAAATACTGATCCATGCGAGGCTAACAGGGAAAAACAGATTTTTGAAAATGTTGAGCTAAGTATAAATGAGTAAGTGATATTCATATAGTTTCCTCAGTTCCTCGAACCCATCACTAACAATCGGTGGCACATTCAAATGCCGGGGCCGCTGAATGTGTAAACGTTTGTGCTTTTCTTACCTTGGCCTTCTCAAAGTCCAGGTCTTTGCCGATGGTGGAGAACAGCCTGCAGAGACACTCCAGAGACTCTTCATCATGATTCTTCAGCAGTTTCACTACGCAGTCGTGCATGATGGCCTCCGTCAGCATCTTCAGCTTGAAGAGCTCTCCGATGAACTTGATGTTACCCATTGAGCGGCGGCGGGCCTGGTCTCTGGCGTTCTGCAGCGCCACTCTCAGGCGCTCTTGCTCCTCTCCCTGGAGCAGAAACAAATGGAAACTGTACTCAGTAATATGATCAGTTGAGTCCGATTAAACAACGAAGACATGTGTTGGTTGTGACCCGTCTCGTTAAAAGATCACATTTCTTACTTCTTTGGCAACCTCCATTTCTTTTTGCTTCCTCTCAAAGATTTCATCGTCGTCCTGGTCCTTCTCAAACTCTTTCTGGCAGCGGTTGAGCAGCAGTTTGCGGAAGTTCACTAAAACTCCTGGTTTGTCTGTGGCAGGGACTTTCAACTGAGGGAGAAACACATTATTTAGTATACACTTTACTCATTGATAATAATATGGATGTAAAAAAAGACAAAAAGGGCATTGTTTTACGTGTCAACATTGGAGGAAATTATAATATCTTCACAAAAATCCCTGGACTTACCCCCATAAGGCAGCGGCACATGTTGGCGTAGGCCACAGAGAAGTTGGGTTCTGAGATGGCCTTCTCAAAGATGAGGTCAATGGTTCCCTTCAGCCTCTCCTCGGTGTCTATCGTCAGATCCTGCACTTGTTTCATCAGCTCCTGGAACTTCTGAGGGGTGAGCTTGTTGAGGATACTGCGCAGACGCTTGAACAGCTCGGCAGTCTTCGCCTGTTCGGGGTCGTCGTCTTCGGCCACCTCTTCGGTGTGGCTCTGAGTGGACTTCTTCACCCCGGGTTTCCAGGCCTTCTCAGCCTTGTTGAGCTGTATGTCTTCCCCGAGGGACAAGCTGGTGAAGATTTTCCTGGTGTCTTTCCTCGGACCCTGCTGGGAGCGGCGTGGCCCGACGTGGCCCGACCCGCCATGGCCCGACCCGCCCGGTGGCTAAAAGGAGGGGTGGGAAAAGTTAGAAAACAAACCTTTGTCAACACATATCCATGGGATTTTGAAGAGTCCATTTCACTCACTGGGCCTCGGGGTCCCCCCGTCGATCTGCTTCCGAGGTTCCCCAAATAAGAGGGGGTAAAATCAGGACCGACATTCATCATGCGAGCTGGGTCAGGAGGCCGCATCGGAGTCTTGTTTGCCTGAAGTTAAAGATAAATGTTAATGTTTAAAGAAGTGGAGGACTGCTTCATTTCTCAACGCTTTTTTCCCCTCGAATATTCACTCATTTCTCAAAATGATGTACAAAAGTCCCTTACCTTTTCCAGGACCACGTCACTGATGGTGGGCAGGTTGTCAGGTTTGTTCATACTGGCGGTGATGAACTGGAAGCCCAGGAGGAACTCCCGGTCGTACCGCTTCTTGTCTTCTGGGTCTATCGGCTTCCATTGTTCTGAGAGAGATGGAAGAAACATTGTATATATGAATCAACTGTTGCAAAACAATTATAAATGCATTTGACTGTGCCCCCCTTTCTTTTTTTGTATTGCCAATTCTAGAGCATGTTGGCCACAGCATACCTTCTTTGTACTGGTATTTCGCCTCAGTTGGCTCAGTCTTTGCTTTAGGTTTATCGCTCTGCTTGTCCTCCTTCTCCTCCCAGGTTTCATCCACAACTTCAGCAGGAGGCGCGGGCGGCGCAACAGGTGCCGGGTCGGCCTGAGCGGACGAGGGTTCGGGAGCAGGCTTGGCTTCTTGCTCCTGCGACAAACACAAACACCAAGAGATGAGGACGTGTTATGATAACCAAGTTACTTGATGCAGAATTTAATGTTAGAAAATGTCCTCAAAAATATTGTTGATACGTCTGAAATTGCGGAGACACTTGAACACTGTGTCCTTTTGTTAATATCTTTCATGTGATCATCCGGACTGACACTCACCTCTGTGAAGGCGTCCAGGAGGTCTCCGATGGCCTCCTTCTTGTTGAGCTCCTTCATGTTCTTCCTCTTCTTTGGCACGGACGTTGCAGCTTTAAGAAAAGGAGGCAGTGTTGATATTAAAATCTACCACAGACACAAACACCAAACATACGTGTGAGCCAGAATAAACTCCACCCTACCTTGCATAGTAGATTCCTCCGTAGGGCAGCTTACAGCGGCAGGAGGGGCATCTTCAATAGTCTCCTTACTCTCCTCCTCTTTCTTCTCCTCCTCCATTTTATTTTCTTCCTTTTCTAGTACCTTCTCAGCGGGAGCTGGAGCAGCCTGTGGTTCTTCCTTCCTGACAGGCGCCTCTTTTGCTGCTAATGATGCTGAAGGGCTGACGGGAGCGTCTACCGTGTCACTTACTTTAGCATCAACTGGGTTTTCGGCCTCAGCAGGAGTAGTAGTAGGCTCTGCTGCTGCTGCTGCTGCTGCTGCTGCAGGGCGGGGGGAGGGAGGCGGCAGGTCCTTTTTCAATGGGGGCGGCACCTCAGCGGCGGCTGCAGGGGCTACAGATTGTGTGGCTAACTCAGCAGGCGGTGTCATCTGGTCATCCGATTCCTGTTGGTCTTCCTCCACAGGCTCTGATTCTGCTGTGGCAGGAGGTGGGGGGGTTTCAGCGCTCACAGGAGGCTCAGTGTTGTCATCTGGGCAGCAAAATATACAGAATAGTCACAATCTGGAAAATGTGGAAGACAGCCATCTTGTATTCGTTATGTAAACCAAAACTGAGGAACTGTACTCACCTATTCTAGTCACTGTAGTGGCTGGCTGTGTAACTTCTCCGTTTGTCTGTGCAGGACTCGATTCTGCTGTGGAAGCCTGCAGTCATAAAACAGTAATGAGGGTTTAAATCTCTGAGAAATGAAATGGAAACACAGATTGCAACGTATTTATGAATTACATCCATGCCTTTCATAAGTAATTGTGATGAAATCATTTGTGACCGTTTCAAAGAAGTGATTATTAAGCGTTATGGTCATTTTAAAGACTGCCGTGTGTACTGTGTATTGTATAGTGTTCAAAAGAATTCGTTCGGGATTAGATAAGAAAAACAAAACCTTAATCCCAGATTAACAGAGCCATGACTCGTTAGTTTTCAAGACATAGAATACAACAACAACAAAAAAACTTTTTATGACTATATCTTCCTGTTTCAGATCAGAGTTCAAATGAGTCCATAAAGACAGTCTTCTCAAAATGTCTCCTCACCTGTGGGGGGGTCGGTGTGGTGGTGGATCTTCCACCCGACATGATCTCCTCTGTGATATCACGCCCGCCCTGGTTGGGGTCTCGTATCCTTATCTATAAAAAGGCAGGATACATATTGGTTAGATTTCTAACATGTAGCCAACATCAAAGCACAGCCAGTGTGTAACAATGCTGTCGCTACTGATCCATGGCAGCCACCCATCATGGTGAACACTATTGTCATTTACAGGTAAAAGGGAAAGTTCCACATTGGACAGACAATACACTTTTTTGTCCATTCAAATTTTTTTTTTTGACCTCAGACAAGAGGCGCGCTGCCCTTTTGTTGAGACACACTACCGGTTTGCGTTCCCTCTTTGGTGGCCCTTGTGGCGGTGCCGGTGGTTGCTGAGGAGGCGGGGCTTGTTGCTGTTGCTGGGCGGGGTTTATCATGACAGGTGCCGGCTGGACAGCTGGGGAGTACTGCGGCTGCGCTGGATAGTATGCTCCTGCTGTAACAGGTAAACCAAACAATAAAGAGTATTAATGAAAAGGAAACCATCCCAAAAGTGTCAGACGCAGCTCCAATCCGGAGTCACAAGAGTTTATTTTCCTGTAGTCTTGAAAAAAAAAAAGTATTTGCAGTCAACTTTCTGACACTGTTAACCTCATTCCATATTTGGAACTTTAAACAGAGAAAACACATCTTGCATCCTGTAGGAAAGAAAACAGGAATCCACAGAGTCTATAAGAGTTGTTCAAGGTCAAAGCAAAAAAAATAACTTTGACATATTATATATAGATATAGGCTTATCTAGAGGCTAACTGATGTGTTGTGAAATCAATTGACGCTGCCATTACTCAAAACCCTGGATGTTAAAGCTTGCCTGTGTGAAGTTTAAGTGAAATGAAATTGGTTATGACACGCCATTGAAGTAATGACCTTCACATCCAGACTGAAGGTCAGACAGAAGCATGATGTTAAAGTGCTGTACAGTGAAGGAAAAGAGCCAACATGACTTTGTAGCTCATGAATGTTTAAACAATGAACTTGATTGTTGTACATTTCGGTCCAGCTAGCAAGAAACCTGCTTATTAGCAAGGGTTAGTGTTTTTTTTATTCAGCAGATGTTGAAGGATATTGTTAGAGAGAATTATATCAGCACTGCTCACAAAGTGTGGTTTGTAGATTCAAGTATTTGAAGTATAACCTTTAGATAATTGTCAGCGGAATTGTTAAATTCACCCCGATTTAACCCCAACGTCACTGACAGTGTGCATTTAGGTGTATTTTCTGGTGGTATGATCACCGGTGAATGTTTTCTTATGTATGCAGCCTTTACTTTGTATCCCATTCGAACGCAAACATTGGTGTTAGAATAAAGAAAAGTAAAACACATTTAAAACGCGACCAGAGACAGGAAGGGCCACAGAGATTGTTGCCACTAAAGCCTGCTGAACAACACACAAGCACACACACACTACTCACCAGGGTAGCGCTGGGAGGTGAGAGGAGCACCGTGGAGAGAGAGACGGACGTTCTCTCGCCCGACCCCTCTCCCCCCACCACCCCGCCTCTCCCTCGCAGCAAGAGAGGGCTCTGAACCAACGCAGCAAACGAGAGGAAGGGAGTGAGGGACGGGAGGAAAGAAGGAGAGAGGGCAGGAAGAGACAGATGCAGAATGAGTTAATGAGAGGATCCAGAGGAAGCAGGGTGTTAAAAAGGTCCCATGAAATGAACAAAGCCTTTAACGTGTTCCTAACTTGTGTTGCTGTCTGTATCTTATTGATTTATTCTTTCTGTCAAAAAATTCTTAAATCAAATCATAATTTTCTCTTCCTGGAAAGTTTTATAATGTGTAGGCAAACTAATGTGAGGTTTAAGTTGTAACAAGCCAATTCCTCACAGTTTTCTTTAGCAAATAAGATGCTTCAGCAGTAACACAAGATGTGTGTTTGGGGGGATTTCAAAGAAAATGGTTTCATGTGCAGCATTTGCAGCAATACTTAAATATTTGCTTGCATCAGGTAGTCTTTGTCCTGAATGCTTTCAGTAATATTTAGTCTTTACATGAAAACCATCCCCCCGACAGCATTTCTATTTAGACATGCATCCAGAAAAAGGACACAATTATTGTCTCAAAGCCATTTCATGGAACCTGTAAGGCAGTGTCAGGTGAGACTGCAGATAGAGAGCACACAGGCCAAAGCAGAATCAAGCCAGACTACATGCAACTGGCACTTCACCACACACAGCTGTGTTTCACTCACAGAGACATTAAACACACCAACCAGCCAAGCAAAACCACCACACACACCCGGCGATACCATATGGGCGAAGAGGCGCGCAAATATATACAGACTTAAACTACATGCTGGAGTTACATGTGTTTGTCTGCTGTTAAAGATTTGAACTGACAATTGTCCATGTTTATAGTTGTGCTTGGTTGTTGTTGTTGTTCTTGTCCAAAACCCCTTACCATAAGCAGGGTATTCAGCAGGGCTAGTTCCCGGGTAGAAGCCTGCTGTACCGGCGTTCACTGGATACTGCTGAGTAGGAGGCATATATGGGGCCCGGTACTGCAGAGAAACAATAAAAGAGACAGAATTTAAAACATCATATTTAATTATTATGCGTCATCTCCACAGAAATGCACTGTATTAACCCAAAAAGAGAAGCCTTTTTTTTTTAAACATCTGTCTTTGGAAGACAAGAAACTAACATTTGTGCAGATTGTCCCAATTTCTTTTGAAACGCAGCTTATACTTTTGCCTACACGTCACATGCTCACACACTTCAGTCAGGCTTTTTGAAGCAGAAAGACTGATTTTCTCTGGCTGTTGATGTTTCAGTCTTTTTAAGTTTACAATTTGACAAACTGTGGCACTCCTAATTCTTTGCTGCTTGACAATCTGTCTCTTGAATGGAAAATTACTTTGAACTCAATTTCCTATGCCAAACATTCTTTTTTTCCATGGCAGTAGGTTTAACGGGGCTTCCTTACACTCATTTAGTAGGAGCAGGTAATCCCCTAGGATCCTAAGAGAACCTTTACGGTTGTTAACACTTAAATGTCTTAGACGTTCACCCCAATTATTCAAATTGTATTTCTTCATGAGAAAAATACTTCAACTTTGGAGCCAGAACAGCAATGTGGTGCGCACAGTAGGCGTGTACATGTACATTTCATGATGAGATTATTATCCCAGTAATCAATAAGATATACTTAATATCATGTCGGCAGGTTGTTGGGTAGACTGGTTATAAGCATGTACTTTGCTAATAAAGTAAACCAACCTGTCCAGGGGGGATGAAGTATCCCTGAGGGGAGCCAGCAAAAGACAGCTGCTGCTGGGAAATCATCATCATCTGGGAGTTGGGCGGGTAGACGTGAGTGGGTCCGACAGGTCGGGGGCCACTACTCGTCTGCAGCCTTGGAGCACTCGCGGCCATTGCTGGTCGGTTCTGATAGTAACTCTAGAAAACAAATGAGGGAATTTAAAAAAAGAACAATGAAGAGTATGTCAGAAGCACAAGCCAACCTGATGCTCCATGTGCTTATTTAGTGTCTTAGCTATTGTGGTCCTAACTCACGTGTTATGAACACACAGACAAGCACAACACACAAGCGTTGTGCTTGTGTATGTGTTCAGTCACAGACCTAAACTCATCTGGAAGCACTCACTGCCAATATGTGCAGCACGTTCAGGTCTTGAGTTACAGAGTCTAATTTGAATCACAACGAGTGCTGAATCTCATATCTCATTGCTGTACTGAAGTCAGCCCGAGTTAAGAGGGGGGTAGACAGACAAAGGGAAAAGTTGTTACCTGTAATGCTCTGTATCCCCCCTTCAGCCGCGCAATGAGCAGAGTGCAAGAGAGGGAGTGAGATTTAAGTGAAAATGAGGACAAGAGACAATGTGAAAGGTTAAGATTACAAGCCGTAAGAATGAAGAGAAAGAGAGGCGGCAACAAAATATTTTATCAGCCATGAACAGTAAGCTCAAACGATGACATGCAACTGTGTTCAGGTCTGCAGAGAAGTGCGATCCACTCGAGTTCTTCGGTCCCAGCTCGAGTGGTTAAAGAATCACTTTACAGCAGGGGTGTCAAACTCAATTTCATCTCGGGCCACATTAGCATCACGGGCCATCAAAGGGCCAGTTTTATATATAAGACTATATAAAAATACATATATACATTTTTAATATATATAAAATAATGTATTATATTACATTATTGCCTCTGCATTGGATTATTATCAGATAAGGTAATAACTTCATAATTAACTACGTCTGAAAGCAGAAGTCTAGGGCAAACAATTGCAAGTCTCTTCAGTGAGAATGTCACAAAATGATTTAAAAAGAAAAGCCAAATTCTGAAGAAAAAATAAATAAACAAAAAGTGATATTTTGGAGAAAAAAAATCTAATTCTGAGAAAAAAGTAAAATTTGAGATGCATTGTGGGACATGTAGTTTATGGGCAACGTGCTTCTGTAAAGTAGCATGTTACCATATAATAAACATATTA